CTACCCTGCGGCCAGGGATGCAGCCGCCGTGTGATGGAACGCCCCCTGGCCCATGGCTCCCGCGCCCATCCTTCCCAGGCGCAGCACGCGGCTGTTGTTCTCCAGGTGCGCCCCGGACTCCCCCACGCTGACGTTGCCGTCCTCGCCGCCTGGGCGGACGGACATCCGCGAGGGAAGCCGCCGGATCGGCGGCGTCTCCTCCTCCGCTCGGCTCGCGGTCTCCTCCGTCTGCGACTGGCTGCCGTCCGAGGCATACCTGGGCAGCGGCGGCTCCGCGTGCGAGTCGAGTCTCGGCGTGCAGCTGCTCCTGCGGTCGTCCGCCGGGGGCTCCTGCCCAGCGGGGCCCGGCGGGGCGCGAAGCTCCTCCAGCGCCTCCTGGAACCTCTGCCGGTCCACGCGCAGCACCTCCGAGCACTCCAGCACCATCACGGTGTCCTTGCTCCGCACGGCCTCGCCTCTCTCGAAGAGGCAGTGCTCGTCCACGACCGTCAGGGGGCCTGGCGGAGCACAGCGACATGCCCCTGCCACTGCTCCCGGGCCTTCTCCCAGGGTGCGCAGTTCTGACCAGGAGCCTGGGGGCGAGTCCAGCCGTGGCGGGAGGGCTGTCCGGGGCGACCGGCGGTGTCGGCATGTATCTCTTCCTGCTCGGAGGGCCGATGCTCCAGTTCGACATGGCCGACATCACGGAGAACTGGGAGATGCGGCCGCCGGGTCTCTTGTCGGAGGGGTCGTAGACCTGCAGGCCGCCCCGCATGAGCACGTATGCGGCCACGGCGTCGTTGTCCTTCTCCGTGAGCTTGTCGCCAGGCAGGTAGTCCAGGGCCTCGGTGGCGTCGCAGACGTACCTCAGGGCCGGGTCGACCCAGTCCTTCAGTGGCGGGAGCATCCTGAGGAAGTGGATCTTTTGGGCGTGGCTCAGCTTCTTCTTCAGCCCCTCGGGCAGAGCGCTCAAGAGCCCGAGCTCCTTGGCGTGTATCTTCCTCTTCTCGAAGAGGTGGTTCAGGTACGCCTGCGTGCGCTTCTGCAGCGTCTCCCCGCAATTGATCGTTCTCAGGTGCATGCGGACGCACGCCATCTCCTCCTTGAACGCGTCCCTGCGCGAGCCGAATCTGAACCAGGCCTGCGTGATGCGGGTGACGTTGACGGCGAAGGCCGCGACGGCGAAGAACATGAAGACGAGCACGAACACCCTCTCCGTCAGGTTGATGGGCGTGACCTCGGCCGGCATGGTGCGCATCACTCCCAGGATCCAGTAGAAGCAGAACACGTACTGCTCCGACGCGGGCCTCTCCACCCACGTCCACAGTCCGATCTCCTCGTCGTGCGGGCTGTGCATGCGCGGCAGCTCCGTCCAGTGAAGCATTCCCGCTGCGCCGTCCTGCATCGTGAGGAGCATCACCAGGCTGTCCCTCTTGCCGACCATCCACCAGATGCAGGCGCCCCAGTGGCAGATGGCGGCCCACGTGCCAAGGACCTTCAACATGCTCACCACGTTCAGGGCGGTGATGGACCCGATTCGGCTCTCGATGCGATCCCAGATAATGGACAGCTTGCACAGGCGCAGCATCCTCATTAGCCTCAAGAGCCGCGTCAGTTTGACAACCTTTGCGAGTTTCGTTACTTGGCCCGCCGACGACGAGCTCCCTTCGCTGTTCGAACTGACGGCCTTGGCGATTACGGTCCACGGCACAGTACTCAGAAAATCGATCCTGGGTAAACCAAAAGGTACCGATACCGCTCCTCCCCGGATCCCTCCTGGGGTGTGTTCTGACCAGAACTTCGATGCGAATCCAGCGGCTGCGACGAGGGCCTGCCGGGAGACCCAGAACGGGGAAAACGAGGTAAGGGCAGCGGTATGTGTACGGTTTCCTCCTCCGAGATCCAGAACCATCCGCGAAGGTAGTTGATCGCGATGCTGATCCTGTCGGTGACGAGGCTTCCTTCCTGCCAGCCCTTGTCCCTCTTACCCGCCCTGTAGCTGGTGAAGAAGTTCAGCACGACGTCGCAGGAGAAGAGAATGACTGTGAACCTTGGTGTGGAACACATGCGAACCCTGCCCCACCATCCCAAGATTTCCGAGGGGGGAGGTGGAGCCTCCTTCGTTCGGGACCTGCCGAGCGAAGTGAACCCCACCTCCAAATCGTAGGCTTAGGTCGGGCATGTCCCCCTACAGGCGGATTTTGGCCGAAAAACTCAAAATACGTTATTTTTGGACTATGTCTGACTTTTCCTCCTGTAGAGGGGCAGTCCCGACCTCATCGTAGGCTGGCAGGTATCACGGGCCATGTGGGGAACGGGTCCCGGACCCCGGGGCCTTCTCCCAGGGCCAGCTCGTCGTCCGAAGTCGTTCTGCAACAGTCTCGGGGCCCGCGGGAGGCCCCAGAAAGCCAAACACCGCGAACGACCTCGGGGCCCGTCTGCCTCGGGACCTGCCCGCTTCACGGCGAGAACCAGAGCCAAAACCCATCGAATCCTGGCGCAGTCCGAAACTCGGCCAGCTGAAACGGGATCACCACGCTGTCGCACATAACCATGCAGATCACCGCGAGGTCCCACGCCAGCCTCACGGGCCAGTCGGGGTTCAGCACGCCCTGGATGCACGGGGACGTCTGCGCGACCCCGTTGCCCAACCGCGACGCCAGGGCGGTGCCATCCATAGACGACTGGCGGGAGAACATCGGCTTCTCGAACACCTGCATGCTGGCGTCGCCGTCGGCGAAGTCCGACGCCGCTGAGCTGACCGACTTGTTCTCGAAGTGCAGCTCTTCTCCTGACGGGATGGGCTGCATGAACCTCCCGCCCATGGCCGCGTCCGTGCCGCCGCTGCTGCGGCGGCTGATGCTGATGTGCCTGCGCGACACCTGCTTCGGGATGAGGCTGGCCACGGATTGGGACGGGTGCTGCGACACACGCGTGTCGCTGCTGCTGGTGCTGACGCGGACGCTGCGCCTGCACGGCACACGCCTGGGCGCGTGGCAGCCCGCCTCGGCCGGGGAGGGATGCTGCGAGGCGCGCTCGCGACAGATGCCCGCGACGCACCCCGCAATCGACGCCACCACGGTGGCCGAGCCGGGCTTGGCCGTGCCTGCGAGGACCCCGACCGCGGCCGCTGCCTCGGGGGACTCCCCGGAGGCTGCGGCGGTGGCGGCCACGGTCAGCTCGGAGCGGAGGTCACAGATCGCGACGCTCAGCTTGCCGAGGGCCCCGTCCGTCACCGCCCGGAACTCCAGGAGCGCAGAGGCCGGGTGCAGGTCGAGGGCGCTGCGCACCAGGCCCACCTGCACGTCCAGGGCCTCGGGGAGGTGCCAAGCGAAGGCAGCATCGGGGCAACATCGGATCGGGACAGATCTGGCGCCACGCCTTCTCGAAACGTTCCAGAACGCTCTGAGAACGTTCCAGAAGACTCTGGAGGGATGTGTTGCGATCCGAGGCCTGACTGAAGGTGGCCAAACGCCCTTGTCTGTGCGCCGAAGGCCGGCAACCCCACGGACGCTTTGAGTATGAGCGGTTCTGTGGAACTGCGGTATGGCACTGGAGGGGGTACTTCCCAAAACAGTGCTTGCGCTTCGGGTCCCTTACCTCCGTTGCTAAATGATCCCGCCCGCCATCTGGGCGCATGAGGTCAAACGAGTTTCTTCTTTCCTCTTCCAGAGCCCTCCCCCATTGGCTGCGTCGGGAAGGGTTTGCCACTCCCCCCACCCTCTCCCAGGTGTCTGGACGGGGGGGGGGCGGATCGGTCGGAGCGCAAGATGGCCCCAAGAGGGTCCCCGAGGGTTCAAGATGATCCCAAGATGGCTCAGGATGACCGAAGATGGTTCAAGATGGCTTCCGACAGGACTCCAAAAGGTCCCGAGAGGACCACAAGACGGCTCCAAGTGCTCTGGGAGCAGCCCAGGGATCCCCACATGAGGCCCAAATCTTTTCAACACCAAAAGCTGATCATACAATTTGCCTTCTCGCCTTTTCGCTTCTGGTGGGCTTCTGAGGCCTCTCAAGATGTCCCCAGGATGGCCTAAGAGAGCCCCACGAGGGGCCCAAGAGCCCCCAAGACGGCGAAAAGAGGGGAGCAAGCTAGGTCAAAGACGGCATTGATTGTCGCTGCCCCAGAGGAAGAAGCAAATCGGAGACTCCTGCTCCATTGCTAGAGGCCCTCCGCTATGGCCCCAACAGGCCCCCCAGGGCTCACAAGAGGCCCCCAAGATGGTTCAAACAGGGTCCCACAGGGCCCTAAGACACGTCTAACAGCCGCATGAGGACCGCATGATCTTCCCCAAGGGCCCCAAGGGAGCCCCTTGATGACCCAACGACAACCTAAAGAAGACCCCACGAAGGTTCCAAGATGGGACCAAGAATTACCGTCCTGGTTGTCTTCAATTATTTGCCCTTGTAAAGGCCGCCGCCCTGCCGTAGGCCGGGCTGGGCGCGTGGCCTGAGACTGCCTCTCCAGTCCTGGTCCTGAAGCATCGAGTTTGCAACAGCTTCAAGAATGGGGCCCCGGTGATTTTCAAAATGTGGCCCTCGCCCTGGCACCATACACCTTCGTCTTGAAAAGTGAAACCGCTTCAAGGATCGAGGCCCGCTCGTTTTCAAACTGTGGCTCAAGTCTTAGCGCCTTGCACATTCGTGTAAAACTCTGCAAGCGTTTCGAGGATGGAGACGGGCTCCGTTTCTATGTGTGGTTCTTGCCTTGCCGCCGCGCGCACCCTTGCGACCCAGCCCGCACCATCCGATGCAAAGAACATGTGTGAACTTGTCCACATCAACCATACCCACCCCAATCTTACGCAACATATGCAATTCTGCTTATATCCGTACGCCCAGCCCTCTGGCCCCCCCACGATGAGGAGGATGATGATGATGATGAGGAGGAGGAGGAGGAGGAGGAGGAGGAGGAGGAGGAGGGGAAGAAAGCGAGCCGGAGGAGGAGGAGGAGGAGGAGGAGGAGGAGGAGGAGGAGGAGGAGGAGGAAAAGGAGAAGCAGGAGGACGAGGAGGAGGAGGAGGATGAGGAGGGGGAGGACGGGGGGGAGGAGGGGGAGGAGGAGGAGGGTTTGGGGTTTAGGGTTTATGGTGCAGCGCCCTGCTTGTGCTCGCAGCGTGTTCTGGCAAGCCTTTCGCCAAGCGTTTCCCGATACGCGTGCACAGAAGCTCTCCGGGAGGTCCTTCGGAAGCTCTCTCCGGGTACTTCCAGAGGCCTTCGTCAGGTCTTTCCACGCCCGTTGGGCGCTCTGCCATCAAGAGGAGGAGGAGGAGGAGGAGGAGGGGGAGGAGGAGGAGGATGGAGGAGGAGGAGGAGCAGTGAGGCGGAGGAGGAGGATGAGGAGGAGGAGGATGAGGAGAGGAGGAGGGGGGGAGAGGAGGGGGAGGAGGAGGAGGGGGGGAGGAGGAGGAGGAGGAGGAGGAGGAGGAGAGAGGAGGAGGAGGAGGAGGAGGAGCGGGAGGAGGGGGAGGAGGAGGGGAGAGGAGGAGGAGGAGGAGGAGGCGGAGGAGGAGGGGAGGAGGAGGAGGAGGGTGGAGGAGGAGGGGGAGGAAGCCCCGGCCCTGCGCTCTGCGCCCGCGGCGATCCCATGCCTCCGCTTCTCCCTGGAGCGAGCGGCCCCGGCCCCGCGGGGCGAGGGGGGTGCAGTGCAGGCCGCGCCCGCCCGCCCAGCGGCCTCGGTCAGGGAGTGGAGGTGCGCTTCGAAGGCCACTGTCGTGGCTTGCGGCTGCGCGGCCAGCATCGCCCGCCCCGCCGCGCGGCCCTCCAGGGGAGGGGGGGGTGGAGGAGGGACGAGGGGGAGGAGGGAGGGAGGGGGGGTGGGGGGAGGACGAGGAGGAGGGAGGGAGGGGGGATGGGGGGAGGACAAGGAGGAGGAGGAAGACGAGGAGGAGGGAGGGGGGAGGAGGAGGTCGCGGATGAGGAGGAGGAGAGAGCGGGGAACGGGGAGGACGAGGAGGGGGGGGAGGGGGAGGAAGAGGAGGAGGACGAGGAGGAGGAGTGGGGAACGGGGAGGACGAGGGGGAGAAGGAGGAGGGAGGGGGGTCTCGGCCTCTCGAGGCCCTCGCCGTCTGCGGCTCTTCCGGAGGCCGCCGATCCTCCATCGACCCTCGATCCCCGATCCCCGATCCTCGGTCCTCGATGCTCGATCAATCCTCGATCCTCGATCCTCAACCCTCGATCGATCCTCGATGCCCCCTTCCCAGGGAGGAGGCGGAGACTTTTGGGGACCGCGTAGTTCGGACTGGGCGAAAGGGGGGGATAGCAAAGGGGGGGGTTGAGAATCAGCTCACGTAGCTGATATTCCCAGCGCCTCCCAGCGCCGGAGGCGGCCATGTATCGAGGAATGGGCCCCTCGGTAGCGCCGGAACCAGCTGCATGCAGCAGATTTCGTACCCCCCCCTTTCCCTATCCCCCCCTTTCGTCCGGCCCGAGTAGTGACAAGCAAGTCAGCGGATCTCCTGGTAAGGAGGGGGGGAAGGAGAAGGGAAGATGCCCAGACCCCCCACGGTGTGCCTTTGCAATCGCGGCGCCCTCCCGTCGTTTCGGCCTCCGGGAGCCGCATGCGGGCCCCAGGACCATCAGGAACGGACCTTGGATGCATCAGGAGGGGAGGGGGTCGGAGGGGTCGGAGGGGTCGGAGGAGGTCGGAGGGGAAGGAGGGGAGGGGGAAGGAATTCGCGAGAACTCGCTGCTGACCACGCTGTGGTCATGTACTCAGCTGGAGGAGCGGGAACCAGGCACGGAGGGAGACACGCAGCATGCGCATGTTCACTATCGCCAGGCCTGGCCAGGGTCATCTGGGGCTGTAGGATGGTGCACAGACACCCCTCGCTTCGGCCAGCAGGCCGTGTGCACAACCCGATGGGGGGCCCGGAATGGCCATGGCCGGGCATGTCAGCGGAGTAGTGTAGAAGAGTCTCCCATGCCGCCGCGCCGTTCGTTCGCAGCGCGCCCACATGGACGAAGCCGACACCACGGCAGACCCGACCCACGGCAAACCCTGCGTCCGAAGCGGAGCGTGCCATGGAGGCCGAGGCGCCCTCCCCGAGGTCGCGAGGCCGCGCCTCGGAGCAAGCGGCGCGGCGGCATGCGTGCAGGCGAGAGTTGACCGGAGGAGGGCTGCCGGAGGAGGGAGGCCTGCAGCGGGGCCGGCCTCCCCCGGCCCAGGCGTGGACCCCCCCGGCGCCGATGCCCGCCCCGCAGGGGGCCCGACCCGATCGCCCCCCTCTGGCGATCTGCGGGGCGCTGGCCGGCGGGGCGCGCGGGCCCGACGCGCGCGCTGGCCTCCTGGGGGCGCGGGCACCGCTTGCAGCATCCTGGGCGTCCAAGAAGGGGGCGTCCGAGAGGAACGGAACGGAACGGAACGGAAGTCTGCGTGCCAGCTCCGGTAACCGGAGCGGTCCCCTGGGAGGCAGACCGTGCGCTGAGCATGTCGGAACATGAATGTCCGCAACGAACACACGCCAGAAAATGCGTGGCAAATGGCCGAGGCACCTGCGCGGCCCCAGGGGGGGCCAGGGGACGCATCAAGTTAAGGAGAGGCGCCATGACCCACGGCGAGAGATCATGGCCCTGGCCATGTCATCCCACTCCGCCCCCCTAGCCATCGTCCCCCTCTCTCGGCCGCCCCCGACTTCTCGCCGTCGCACGAACGGCCATTGCCCGTGCACTTTCTCGGCTTCGTGCGCGCATGTTCCTCGCAGGGTGATCCAGGATGCTCCTCGGCTGTCCTCGCCGAGAAAAAAAACGCTCACGCCCGAGCGTCGCCAAGGCTTCTTGGCAGAGCTCCGCTCCGCAAACGGGGCCCGGACCTGCACGCGGCGGGGCGCAGGGCGCACGCGGCTGGCGGCCGCAGCGCCCTCTCGAGGGCCGCGGAGGTGAACTTCTGACCAGCCTCGAACGTATCCCTATCCCTAAGATTGACACGCCAAAAGGCGATGACAATCTTAGGGATTCGCCCTCAAAAAATAAGGGAATCCCTAAGATTGGCATCGTGATGAGAAGGTGCCCAGCATAGGGATAAGGATATGTTCCAGGCTGGTAAATTTCGCCAGTCGACCTGGCAAAGCGGGTTGCTCAAGGCCTGATCCGGAGGGCTCCAAAAGAGGTTTCTGGGGAGAGGGTTTTCAATAGCACCCCAGGGGCCTCGGAGCCTCGTCAAAACAGGGCAGGGGGTGCGAAGCCCCTGGGGGACCCCTCCTGAAAAATACCCCCTTCCCCAAAAAACCCTTTTGGAACCCTGCGGCTGATGAACGCACAAAGCGCCATTACCACCGCCAGAACTCAACAGAAACTCGTTCCAACAAGTGAGACGAAGCCAGGGCGAGAACACAGTCGGGTGAAGACAAACTGGAAACCTCTGAGACCCATCGGTT